ATGGATGAATGGATGAATGGATGAATGGATGAATGGATGAATGGATGAATGGATGAATGGATGAATGGAAATATTGAATAAATTGTGTTGTAAGAATGCGTATATTTCGAACAGCTGATGTATGTAGGTGAAGTAGAGTCGAAAAGAGAGAGAGAGAGAGAGAGAGAGAGAGTGTGTGTCGGAGGGCAGGCAACCAAGAGATGAGTGGTTGAGGCCACAAGGCATTTCGGCCAGAAGCAACCGGTCGAGACGCATGTTGTCTGCTTGCATGCGAAACTGGTGCGAGGGTGGGCGGAGGGGTGTGCTGTTTTGGGAATGGACAAAACACGAGGCTGAACTGGTGAATGGGTGAATGGTTATGCGGACGGCTGAAAGGGTGGAGGGGAAAAGGATGGACGGATGGACGGGTGGACGGGTGGACGGGTGGACGGGTGGACGGGTGGAAAGGTGGATGAATGAAGGCCATGGTGAAAAGGGAATGCTTTCGTCGATCGGATGCATACAAAAAGACATAATAAAAAAAAAGAGGGCTCATTCAGTGTGCCTGAGAGGTTTGCCAACAAGGCATCGGCAGAATTGGGATGTGGGCAGGAGTGTATGAGTGCTCGAGTGGAGGAAAGAGGTCGTCGATGTGCTTGTGTGCTTGTGTGTGTGTGTGTGTGGGTGTCAAGCGAAAAGTGGAAAAGAGGTTGGCTGGTTGAGTGGACGAATGGAGAAGGGGGAGTTGACGAGGGATGAATGAACGAGTGGACGGGTGGACGAGTGGGCGAGTGAATGAAGGCGAAGAGTGGCATTGTTTACTGTGGCCGAAGAAGTGGGTCAACTGGGAGAAGCGACAAAGGGGTGGTCGGTCTGAGCAGAGACGGATTGTTTATTGCATTCTGGATTGATGATCCAAACGGGTCCTCAACCAACCAGACTACCACTGGGCCCCCAAGCTGGCCTTTCACATTTGGCCCGATCCGAGGCAGGCCTTTCTTGTTCGTTTCTATGTGTGCTTGTGTGTCTGTGTGTGTGTGTGGGTGTGTGTGTATGGGTGTGTGGGTGTGTGGGTGTGATTAATAAGTACGCAAAAGTGGAAAAGATTGGCTCGTCAGAGGGTGCGATTGGTTGCATTTTCCGCTCAAGTCGGTGTTTTGCGGACGAATTCTATTGTGACTACGTGATGGGAAATGGACAGGATGTGTGTGTGTGTGTGTCAGGGTGTAGTAGGATCTGGTTCGATTTTGTGACATGTGTTTGTTTATGCAAGTGTCTCTAACTATGCTTTGGTATATGTTCCACTATGGTTCTATGTTCTAGTATGTTGTGTGATGTGATGAGATGGTGTGATATGGTGTGATATGATGTGAAATGATGTGGGATGATGTGGGATGATGTG